ATAAATAAACCAAAAAAGTTGTATTAAAACCCAACAAAATGATAAGCTCGAAAGTATGGTACATAAATTTTTTTTTATTTGATTAAAAAAAAAAGAAATATATTTTTTTATAAGTCCATATCCTCCGAAAATGGTGTCCTAAGATTTCGGAAACGTTTGACCATCAGAAAGGTGAAGCCCTTGATTACGGCTTCATTTTTCGGCGGCATGTTCCCGAAGGAAAGTTGGTGTTACCAACCTTTTAAGACACGGATGGACACCTTTATCTTCCTTTGGGCGGAAAATGGCCCGTGGCCAATGGGTTAGCCCGTCAACACCAAAAGTTATCGAATCATGAGTTGATCCGACCCGTTGACCGCTACATAGTGAGTCAAATACGCGTTAGGTCTGGGCTAGCAGAAAGGATGCTAGCTAGCCATTTACATCATGTTGATTTTATACATCTCGGTTTCAGTGAATTATTTTTTCCTGCTTTTCGAGTTGTTCATTGAATCCTTTACGTTGTTTTGGTGTAGGTACTAGTACATCAAAGTATTAGAGAGTCGCTGGACTCCAACACTGTTATGAAGGGACATCTATCCAAGCCAAGCAATCTGAGAGGACCGAACATAAATCACCCGTTAGGACAAATGGCAAATAAGACAAGCAATCAAACTGGCCCGATAGTCCATCATCAAAGATTGCGAGGTGTACTCTTTATCTTGGGCCCCAATGAGCCCAATTAAAACCCATGAATATGTAAGAAAAAAACACTTAAATTGAATAATTGCGCTCATTAAGATCAGACTGCTACATAACGAGTTAAATATGTGTTAGATCTGGACCAGCCGAAAGGATGCTGGCCATAGTTAAATTGAGTGCACTATTGAGCCCAGCATCAGCCCCCCCTTGATGGGTGACCCGAGTAGCCCTGGCCCGCCCATTATCACAATCCGTATTTTACCCCTTCAGTGGTTGAGGAACAGGATGATCAAATTTAAGTCGAAATTTATATTTATCTCAACGAGTTTAAAAAGATTAACAAGTTAGAAGCGTGCTCAAGGTTGGGTCGTACATGAGTCTATTTTAAATTAGTGTTTTTAAAGGAATTCAAAATGACACTACCCAAACACACGAATCGTTTGATATCCTTATAATTCATCTCTTATCTGGAACTGAACTTACTGAGATTTTTGGACATTCAATAAATTATCGGTCAGAAAATTGCACACTTTGATTAATCTGTTCTTCAGTTCGGTCAAAGATAGATCATTCATATCAGGACTAGAGAATTCATGAGAAATAAATCCCTCATAATCTGACTCCAAGATATTGTCAAGATTCGAATTAAAGACGTCTGAATTTATAGTTTATATCTCTTACTACTTGAGCTACCAATTAGGATTAAAGCTTCATATAAGATGAGGATGCTAATCGAGTTGTATCCTGTCAAGCTTAAATGATATCATTTTTTTTATATTCGTCTTACATTCATGTTGTTTCAATATTGAGTCCTTGTCTATTTGTCTCATTTTTGTGTAATAGGAGAATGAGAAACCATAAGATTAAATTCATTTTTTTCTCTCAACTAATATCACAATTTATAGGTCCTTTAAAAATACTAAATAAAGAAATAAAAAATAGACCTTTTTTAAAAATAATATCAGTTAAAAGGAATTTTGTATAAAAGATGAAATACCTGTATTTGACACTAATATAAACCATTTGGTTTGGATTTTCATATAATTCATTCAAAAATTTTTAAATTCATGTTACATTAAATTCGTGTTACGTCAACACGTGGTTTCAAAATTCTAAACAAAAATTTGCAACTGCAGATCAATTTTTGATATCATACCTTAGTTACACCATAGTATTATACATCCCTAGTAAATAGAAAACTCTAACATTGTTAGAATCTTATTTGACATAAATCCACCAAAAAAACCTTATAATAATAAAATAATTAAATGATGAGAGTTGGATTAATTTCCAACATATCCCCTCTCCTCTACTAAATATTTGAAAAAACTTGTAGTTGATTTAGAATGATGAAGTAATTCTCATAATTTCAATAAGCCTCCTACCTCCTCCTCGTGTATGTATTGTCATTATATTTTCTAACTCTTATAGGCTCTTTTATTTGAGTCCACGTAGTATGTCATGTGAACTGATTGGGTTGAGTTTGGGTTGAGTTCGCCTTAATATTCTTCTAGATAACATAACAATTATAAGTTCTCATAAACGACATCAAAATTTTTCATAGTTGGTTTTTTTTTTTTTTTTGTGTACACTGGTCAATCCGGATGGACACATTCACAACTACACATATAGATAACATGCAAAAGTACTGATATATGAACTGTCGAAACTTGACATCTGAGCGATTTTGATATCATTAAGTTTGGGTCTTGTTCCCTTAATTGATTTGGTGCCCATTATTTATTTTTTACGAGTAATTGCACGCACCACGAGTTTATGCAGTCGATATGAGTCAAAAAAAACCTCGTTGTCATATAGATTCTCGATTATAAACATGCTGCAAATATATTATCATGGTTAAGGTTCTTATCTCTTCTGGGCAAATTGGAGAAGGTTAAAATACCCATATAAATACCGAAGTATATGGGTATTTTTATAGGCTAGGACAGGATCTAGAAGGATACAAGACTGAAGTAATTTGAACTGAGAATTTATTCAATTTATAATAATGTAAGATGCCAGAATGGCAATATGGCTGGCAATTTTAATTGGCCAAGCCTCTTTACCAAATTCAAAATGATGTACTATTTTTTATAAATAGGAAGGTCATTCAAGCTTTGAAACAAATTAGAAAAAAAAAAAAGCAAGTCAATTACATGTTATTATATATAAATTTTGGGTTGAACCCAGTTAAAGTGACTATATTTTTTTTGGCCAGGTAATTAAATTGACTAGAATAGTTTGATTTAAAGCATGTATTAGGAACTAAGAGAATTTCTAAATATGACTCAAATTTTTATTCAAATTTAAATTAACATTTGAGTAAAAAATTTGATTTGATACAAACAGTTCTAATGGACAAATTCAAATTTAAAGAAGAAAAATTTTAATTTAAATAAAAATAAACTTAAATTTAAAAAAAATAGAAATGATAATTTTTTTTTTTTTTTTTTATGGCAGGGGCTGCGCGAGCGCATGACCCCGCTACCAAAAAGTACGATGCACAGTCTCCACAATGGGAGATGTTAGGCTAGTGCCCCTCCAAGAATGCAATGAGGTCACCAACCAACCTAGGCCACGAGCATTCCTGATGACCATTGACCCCGTTCAGGTATTTAGTAACGATGATTATTGGATATTTAAAAGCATGTGTAATCGTGCAATTAAAATTTTGGGTAAAAATTTGAATTTTTTTTGATTTGAGTAAATATTTAATTTAGTATAAATTTGAGTCAAAGGTTTGAACAAATATTTAAAATTTTTTATTCAAATTTAAATTTGAGTCAAGGTTGAAGATACTTTAACACATGATATGTTGTCTCTATGCACATTTATTAAGGAAAATCCCATTTTGTATCTCGAAAGATACAAAAATTTTTAATTTGTCCTTCGAATGATTAATTTTTTGACATTGACATCTCAAAAAAATAAAAATGCTAAAATGTGGTCTTATTTTTCGTTTGCCGTCCTTCTATTTTTTTGTTAAATCAACCGATCAAGAATCACAAAATAGACAAACACCAAACGAAAAAAAATGGTGGTGAACTACATTACAATATTTTTATTTCTTTGAGGGGACAACGTGAAAAAATTAATCATTTGAACAAATTAAATTTTTTTGTATCTTTTAGGGGGAAAAATGAGATTTATCCCAATTATTATTACCAATTTTGGAAACCATGTTTTTTGTATTTCTTTTTTAGTGTTAATTTATTTTGGTTGATTTTTTGGCATTAAATAAGTACCTAATTTATCAAAAAAATAAAAAGTACCTAATTTGTCCTTCCTCGCATGCTCTCCCACCATTCTTTATTTCTTTATTTTTTTTTCCTTCTTTTTCTTCTCCCTCACACGATCACACAAAAGTGATCGAAAACACCAAATACAAAAACGATCATAGGAAATGGGTTGGAAAGGCAACAGGAAATAAATAGACTTCATCAAAACTAAACGGTCAATAGACATTAAAATTGTTGAATTTTATGTTTTTGTATTGTCCTTTATTTCTAAAAAAAAATTAAACTCTACTAATAGTTCCATGATCGTTGTTCATTGTAAATCTAAAGCTCAAAAAGATAAATTGATGAAAGACTCATTTTTCTTGCAAATTAGAAAGAACACGGACTCGGTCTGGTCTTAATTTGCAGGTAAGACTTGATATCATCTCAATGTCAAATTAAAGACCTTCAATCTAAGGTACCATACAATTTAGAAAGACGATGACGAAAAATTGTCACAAATTAAACCCCACTTTCTTAGATTGGTCCCACTTTACTTTACTTTTCGAGTGTTTGTCCTATTCGACTAATCAAATCTTAACCAAAATTTCTATAAAAATAACGGTCAAGAGCTATTTATTCTATATTTTAAAGATAAAGCATGTTTAACACTTTCCTTTGCATATAACTCCTCCATCCCTATAGAATTTAACTACATCAATCCTAATATAATTGGGAATTTAACCTTAATACTATAATAGATATTATAATTATTTTCCAGCCACAACTTAAAATAACAAAACTTTAATGCAAAACATTAGTCATTACATACTCATACTGTGATTAATATTAAAAAAAAACAATTTAGGTGGTCCCCACAGGTCTCCCGGAATCTAAGATCCTTTTCCCCCACCGACCCAAGGAAATCTCTATAAATTCCGCTCTGACCTCAAGTATTCTTCAAATGTCTCTGCCTACGCAGCTAGCAGAGAGAGAGAGAGAGAGAGAGAGAGGTGTCTCTGTTTGATTTTCTCTCTCCAGAACAAAGCCAGGAGAATACACACACAGAGGCCGAGAAAATCCCGAGAATTAGCCTGAGGAATGAATCCAGCGGGGGACCTTTTCTGTACGGACTGCCGGAGTTATACGGAGTTGGTGTTCGACCACTCCGCCGGCGACGTCGTTTGTTCCGAGTGCGGCCTCGTTTTGGAGTCTCGCTCCGTAGACGAGACTTCTGAATGGCGGACCTTTGCTGATGATTCCGGCGACCATGATCCAGTCAGGGTCGGAGAGCCCGCGAACCCGCTTTTGAGTGGTGGAGGATTATCCACCGTGATCTCCATGCCGGTCGGGTCTCGTGGACACTCGTCGATCATGAGATTGCAGAACCGTGGGGGTGACCCTGACCGTTCTCTTTTAATGGTGTTCAAGAGCATTGCTAACATGTCTGATAGGTCTGTGTGTGTCTCTGTGCAGGGGTTTCCTTGAATCTTTGCTAAAAAGTTAATGCCCACTTTTGACAGAACTAAAACCCTAATTAGGGTTTTAACTGGTTGCCCAGAAAACGGAAGAGAATTGATGTTAGAATCAATATTTTGATTAAAGTGGTTGACAATTAGACAGGAAATATAAGTAATTCACATAGACAGAGGCTTAGTTAAACCATAATACTCAGTTTCCGTGGCGAGAAAATGCAGGAAAAGAAAAGATATAAGAATTGAATTCAGTGTGCTTGTATGAGGACTTCATGTTTTTGTGTATAAGTGATATGGGTTTAATCTTCTTTTTTTTTTGTTTTTGTTTTCTTGGTGAACAAGGAAGAGCTAGTCGATTTGGATTCTGATGTAGTGACCCATAGATGTTTCTAGGAGTTATATTCGTGGTTGAATTGATAGTTTTAGGATGAAATTAGATTTTGGATTTTCAAATTTGAGTTATTTCATTTGGGATTTTTCACAATCTTTTCAGTCCCATTTATCAGTTTAAATTATTTTTCTGAATTCGTTACTTGAATCTTGCGCTATATTCAATGAATTTCTGACTGTTTGTCTGTACTTCACCTAACTGTATATTATATGTGTTCTTATGTGTATACTAGTTGTTATGATTTTAAATGACATTAGAGGGTATCTTGTTGTTTTGTATTTTGTGTGAATGACATTAAAGGGTATCTTGTTATTTTGTGTGATACCATATTAAATGTAGTAGTAACAGAAGCTGGATTTTTTCTGTAGAGCAATGATGACTCGATGGTGTTAGAAAAATACAAAAGTGATTGTTGAAGTATTAATCGACACATGGATTGAGGAAAATATTTTTCCTTCTATAATCTGAATCAGTATTGTATAAATTCTTTTGATTATGTCTACTTTAATAAGATGTTTAAACGATGTAGTTCGAGATTAAGTGAATTCATGATTACGCTAATTAGTTGCAATTCTACACCCGACATAGGAACCTGTTACAGTTACACTAAATTGATTTATGTATGCCTGTTTGATTGAAGAAAACTCAAATGATATATGGCTGATTAGTGATTTACTTCCTTTTTTTTTCTTTTCAGGTTGAGCCTTGTTACAGCTATAAAGGTATGTTATTTAGTTGCTGATTATCATATGCAAATTAGCACACACTAAAGTAATGTTTATGACTTGCAGGCATCTACTCATTGCTAACTTTCTCAATACCAACATCACGGTTTCCTTTAATTTGGTTAATTTTTTTTCATCTACTTTCCAACCAGCTCATCCACCCCAAATCATCTTTTCTCTTTGAGAAAAGAAATCTTGAAAACAATGACTGCTATCACCTTTACTTTTTCTTCCCTTCTTTTTTTCTTCGATTATTATGCAAGGATACACATATATAAACGGAAACAAACTGGGTAGGTATATGGGTGAGGGTTCCTAATGTAATGTGTGTCATATATTATGGACTTAACTGGCCCATGGACACATATCATACTCCTTTCCTAATAGAGAGCGGATCCATTGTGTTGCTAGGGGGCATATCAACTGTGTCGCTTGTTTTGGTACCCTAATCTAGCTTTTAGGACTAATCAGAGGAGCTTTTGATTCATAGACAACAGAAAAATGGTATCTGGAAGTGTCATAAACTGAGTGTTAGCTTTCATGGACTGTCAACTCAAACTTGTTTTGCTTTAAGGTGATAATGGTTAAAGACGCCGAAAATGAGTTGCCTTTTCTCTTTTCCTTTCTATCTTTCTAGATGAGGGAATTGCAAGAAATACACGAGTTGCATATTTAGATCTTGCTTAACAAAATTTATTTTTTTAATGTTATTGGTTTGTCTGGGTTCCTTGTCCAAGTGTCGTATGAATTTCCCAAAAGTTCGTCCTTAGTTTCCATTATCCAAGTGAGGATTTGAGATCCTTGTGATGTTAACAAATGACGATTACTGTTCGTTGGCAGTATAGCACAATCCTGATACAATTTTTATTTTGTACATTGTTAAGTTTTTTCTTGAAAACTCATTTGAATTGAGTCATCTTTTTTATCGGATGGTGCTTATTTCATTAATTTGAAGGATCGGGCTAAGGAGATATATAAGAGGTTAGACGATCAGAAGTGTACCAGAGGAAGAAATCTGGATTGTTTAGTGGCTGCTTGCATTTACATTGCTTGTCGACAAGAAGGCAAGCCACGCACTGTTAAAGGTGGTGCCTCCTAATTCTTTTACATAAATGAATATTTCCTGGTTTATTTTCTTTTCCTCTGTATGAGCTCTCTGAACCAGTGGACACCAATTAGAAATTTGCTCTGTTGCCAATGGAGCCACAAAGAAGGAAATAGGCCGTGCAAAAGAATTCATTGTTAAACAATTGAAGGTTGAAATGGGTCAATGTATGGAGATAGGAACCATACATGCAGGGGACTATTTGGTGAGTTTCTTCTGAAAATAATTAGCAAGCTTTTTAATTATTATTGGACTGTATTTTAATTTGTGCAGGCGAGAACATTTTTTTGTCTGACTTCAAATGTTCTCCTTGACATTAATCTTAACCATTCTTTCAGAGGCGCTTTTGTTTTCTTCTTGGTATGAGCCATGCAGAAATTAAAGCAGGCCAGGAGACTGTCCAGAAGTTAGAAGAGATGGATATAAGGTAATTTGGTTTTCTTTTATGTTGTATATATTCTGCATTTCATCACTTCATTGTCCTCATGTAAGTACGAAGGATTTTCGTTATTTCAGTTAGTTTTGAGTATAGCAGTAAGAATTGAAAACCAACCCTTCCCATCCTGCTGGGTCCCCTTACCCTAATACTAGACAGCAGTATGACATTCGTGTTTGTGCTGACACCGTCCAAGAATTCATCAGCTTCCGTTTCTTCCAGGTTTTACCTTATTTGCAACTATTAGAAACTAGGATGTTACATGAGCAAGAAAGGCCTATAATTCTGCTCTTGACCGTTTTGAAATGATAATTTCATTAAAAGCCTCTCAGATTGTTATCTAGTTGTTGCTTGCCTATAGTGATTCTCTTTATCCTTTTACTGCAGGAGGAGCCCTATTTCCATTGCTGCAGCAATTATTTATATGATATCTCAGCTGTCAAACGCAAAGAAGCCACTGAGAGGTTTGATTATTTACTGTCTTATTTGTTAATAGGGAGGAACGAGCATGTGAGCCTCTGAGATACAGAGATTTGATCTTAATAGATTATAGTTGTATGTATGATATCTTGTGTACAAGGGTTATGTTTGCCACGGTTGCATCTATGCCCCTGTATGCTTCAGTATATAGAACCCATTTGTTGTGTTAAGTTCTGTATATCTCTGTGGTATCAGAACCTCACGAGCGTTTTCTTTTCATTCCTTCCTTTCCGCTTCTGGGAAGCCATAGTTCACATTTTTTTTGTTCATTTTGAAATGTTTTGCATGGAGGTCATATTCTTCAACAAATGGTCCCAAATCACTAAGAATTTGGTTTTATACTTGTGTTTGATTAGTATGTGTGTGTGTTGCTCTTTTTCTTTCTGCACTACCTGTGGACAGAGATAACTATAGATGTTGTTTCTTTTGCAATTACTCTAGGTGCTGTAGTACTTTGTATATGTACTTGATGAAGACAGTGTCTATGCAGATATATCAATAGCTTCTACAGTTGCAGAAGTGACAGTGAAGAATGCTTATAAGGATCTTTATCCCCATGCTTCAAGGATAATTCCAGAATGGTATGCCAAGGAAAAGGACCTCAAGAACCTCTGCTCTCCTAAAACCTAAACGAAAAACAATGCCTAAGCTTGGGTCGGAGGCCTTCTGATTTGGAGATTTATATTCTTGTAGGAGTGGACATAGAGTCGATACACAACTCTTCTTTTCCCTTATTTTCTCCTTATAGTTTGTTACAAAATTCAATTTTCGACTTTGATTAACCTGTTGATATCTTTGATTTATGTCATGTACATACAAAAGCAAGTTTTTCATACACATTTTTGTTTTTGCCTGAACCTTGCGGTCCAATTACTCTGGCTTGTTCATTGATTTTGCTGGCTTATTCCTACTCTTTTTGAAAATGCATACAGAATGAGTAACTTGTGAATTAGGAGGGAGGCCTCTTTGATCTTCTAACTTGTGGATTTGGTGTCATGAAGTATGAAAAAACAAATTTAGATTAGGATTTGAATAATCAGTCAAAAAATCAATCTATCCGACTAATGGTTCAGATTAGAATCTGGTCCGTTGTATAACCTATTTGAATATACATTATACAATATTGGCGTTTTCAATTTCCGCTTTTCCCCTTTTTTAACTATACAACATTTGGTAAAGCTTAGAAATTCAACCTCCACTAAGAAAAAAAAAAAACTATAGTGGGAATGATAACTAACACAGCCCATTTGTGAATTGCATTAGTAGTCTCTTGGTTAGTTAATAAAAAAAGTTAATTCATTCACACATTGAAATATAGGAGTTGGTGGTTAATGGTTCTTGGTAAAAGAGGAATTGAATAATTTTGGAGAAATAAACCATTTTATAAACGGCAAGTTCTTCTTACTAACATGACAAACAAATAGTAACAAAGAAAAATATAAATTTGGGCATGAATTTTTTAGCACTCCAACCATCCAAGATCTCTCGATTTAGATAAGTTAAAATTTAAATTTTACTAATTGCGATCAATTTCAATCATCCATAGTGTCAACTTAAAATTCAAAAAGGTTTATTTGTCAATTTTTATGATTTAATAAATTAATGATAAGCAATTGCAATTTCTTGGCTCCACCTCTCCTCTATATATATATATACCCTAACTTTGACCACTAAACAAGGAAGGAAACCTCGAGACCAAGATTTCTTCTAATACATTTCTTCTTGAATGATCTTTCAATGCTAATGAGTGAGGGACTTATTTAAATATAATGGATCTCACTTGAATAAATGATTTATGATTCGTCACGAAGAGAATTGAAGAAAAAATATATTGAAAGAGATGTCTCTTTGTGAAAGAAATATTATATCTGATACTATGTTAAAAGTTACAATGTTTGAATTAAAAGAGCATTAACTTCCGCCAACCAACTCACTCAATTTAAAAATAAAATTAACACTTATCACATCATAACTTCCCAACCCTTCTATTGCTCCCCACTTTCTCCTCTCTCTTTATATACTCTCCTTAACAAATGTTAAATCCCAGGTTCTCTCAATCTCTAACTCAACCAGCTAAATTTTAGATGATTCTCATCTTTCTCTCAGCCCACTATTGTCAAAGCTTTGGTAGATGTAGAACTCCAGAAACAATCTCACATTTGTGACACTTCTAGTCATCTATTAATTTTCAAATACTTTTAGGGTGTGGTAGAAAAAATATTGAAAAAATAATTAATTAATTGAGTTTATTCATGGTCGATCAAAATTTATAATTAAATATAAATAATCACAATCAATTCTAACTTTAATGGATAACTTTGATGAGTCCAAAATCAACTGGATCAGGCTTAATAAATTAAGAAGGCCTAAGTCAACTAAAGGACAGCCCAGACCCACTTTGCTAGTCCGATCCAGTCCAACCCAGTTCGGCCCAATTCAAGATTCAAGAAGCTCGAAGAGATAGGAACACGTGGGAGAAACTATCGGGATACACATTTATGAAAATCCAATCCTATCTTGATTGTGCTTGCCAAAAGAATAGTGTCATCTCCCTCACGTCACCGCTTCACCACCACCACCTCATCATACCTATATAATGTAAGCCCTCTCCACATATAAGACACCACCTTTAAACCTCTACACATTGACACATCTACACACCTCTAGATCTCTACACCTCTCTACACACTAAGTTTCTTTCTCCAAAAACATTGTAACTCCCTCGAAGTATACTCTTGTGATTACTTTATTCATTAATAAAGAACTTTGGCCACTGCCGCTGTTTTTTGAGGGTGAAGTAGGTCAACCGGACTAAACCATTATATATTTGTGTGTTTGCTCTTATTTACTGTTTTGCCATTGATTGCCTATTTACTGCTCATTAATTACATTCGTTCATATACTTGACTGTTGATCTTGCACAAGACTAATTTGTGCATTATCAAACTTAATCATGTATAATAATAATTTTCGTGCCAATAAAAATTGAACAAAAATTACACCCAACTTGTTCCTTGTACGATTATTTCTCTTGTTTTTTTTATTTTGATTATAACATAGTATCACCAATAAGCAAACAAGTATTCACTTCTTCACATAGGCGTGTGCTGGATTCAAATCTTCTACATTATTCATATTCATCAATTCCCTCCAATTTAGTATGTGGGACCAGGCTAATCCCTTGTGGGGGTGTTTGGTTGATGGGATAAAGGGGATAAGGCAAGTTGGATTGGATAAAATAACGTAAGGGCCACAAATCCCTGTGGATCAAAAAAAGGAGCTGGATATTCGTTGGCTTCGAATACATCGGCCGTAGTGATCGGAGCCCAATATCCCTTCTCAAGTAGATGTGTGTAACCCATGGGGCATATGGGATTTAAATTTTGCTGATAGGATTGATCGTTATTTTACGAAAATGCCCCTGCAATTGATTAGGGTTTTTACCTTTGTCTGCCAATTAATTTCTTCAACCAACCCACTTGTCTCACCTCTCTTTTCTCTCTGAATACGGCGCATGGTGGAAGTAGATATAGGTACGCTTCTCTCGCCTCCTCTCTCTCTCTCTCTCTCCGTCGTTCTCTTTGTTGGTGCTTCCTCTCTCTTTCTCTAGCTCATAATTGTTGCGTTTTTTTCTCTCTGCCAAACCCATCTCTCTCTCTCTGTCTGTCTCTCTCTCTTTGTGAAGAGGTGTGCAGAAGTTAGGTGTGGTGGGGAGAGAGATTCTGGTGTTGGGGAAGGGACTATTGTGTGTGTGTGTGGGGGGGGAGGGTAGGGGATTTTCATAGAGGGCTTTGGTAGGAAGTTGGTGAGCTTTGATCATTATCGGGACTGATTTCGTTCTCTCTCTCTCTCTCTCACTTATTCCATTTTTCGGTTCATTAGGGATCTGTTAGAAAATCAGCTGGCTACATAGATCAAACAAATTATTATATGTATATGGATTTTTTCCCCATATTTTTATCTTTAGATTTATCACTTTGTTCAATAATATCTGCCTTGCAAGAATGACCACATTGTTTGGATCTGGGTTTATTTCAGGGGGTTCTTTTTTCCTGTAATGTTGTTCATCCAAAAATTGCTGCCTCTTTGTTTCTTCGTTGTTGTCCTGCAATCTCTTGTTCGGGGTTTGTAGCCACGGGTCAAAAGTAGAACATCCAAATTCTATCTCTCTCTGTTCTTCGGGCTTTGTAGCCATGGATAGAAACCAGAAAATTCAGAAACCAAAAAATCCAATTTGTCACTCTCATTCTGAATCTCCCACTCTCACTGTCACTCTCACCCCAGTAATGGGGCTACTAGATTGTTAATTTGTTTGTGTATTTCAACTAACATTTACTCCTATGTATTCTCCTTCATTGTGGACTATTTTAGAGTTTTGTGAATTGGGCCCTCTGCATACTTTTGTACATGTATTTTGCATTTGATTGTTAGAAGAATTCTTATTTCTGTTATTGACTAATGTGATATTGTTTAGAGATTTGTTTAGATTAGTGAGTAAAATGAATTTTTTTTTGAACATAAGTAAAATGAATTGAATTGATATGTATTGTTGAGATCCCATGTAGTTGTTTGAGCTATGGGTTAATTAGAGCGGTTCCTTGGATTGTCTATTGGCAGCTTTGGAAGAAGAGGTGCAGAGGGAGGTTTGAGGGCGTAAAAAGGAATTCTCATGCTATTTTTTGTTGATTCTCAATTGCTTGAGGCTTCAGGCTTTTGTTATAAAGATGCTGCCTGCTACAGGATAAATGTGATTTTCCTAACTTCAGGAAGAACATAGCTTTGGTGATGAATCCTTAGCTAAGAGTTGCAGCTGTATAAGGATCTAGAGAGGGGAGGTGTTTTGAGATTTTATTCTTTGTTGTATTTGGTTTGTAAGGGAGAGGTGAAGCTGATCCCTCTTACTTGTAATTTTTATCGAAAGCAATAAAATCATTCTTCCAACACTCCCCCTCAACACCAGCTCTCACTATTTGCACTGTGCCAAGCTGATAGCGAAACATTTCGAACTTGCCAGTGCTCAAGCCTTTTGTGAACAAGTCTGCAACTTGATCATTTGTCTTGATTTGCCTCATCTCAATTTCTTCTTGTAGAACCTTTTCTCTGATAAAGTGATAGTGTACTTCAACATGCTTAGTTCTTGCATGAAAGACCGGATTCTCCGCCAAACGAATTGCCGACTGATTGTCACAGTGCAACGGAACTGCATAATCTATTGGTTGATGTAGATTATTCATCGGCTGTATCAACCATGTACTCTCTTGAGTTGCCATTGTTGCAGCTTGATACTCGGCTTTAGTGGTTAACAATGATACCGTCGGCTGTCTTTTAATACACCAAGAAATTGTTCCGGAACCAAGCTTAAACATATACCCAGTTGTTGATCTCCTGGTATCATGATCTCCTGCATAGTCAGCATCACAATAACCAACTAACTTGCAGTCTTCACCTTTCTTGTACAAAAGACCATAGTCAATTGTACTCTTCACATATCTCAGTATTCGTCGAACTGCTTCCAAATGAGGCTTATTTGGATTTTGCATGTACCGACTTATCACACCAACTACATAAGAAATGTCAGGTCGTGTCAAGGTTAAGTAGATCAAGCTACCTACCAATTGTCGATTCATCGT